ATATCAATTACTAATTGATAACACATGTTAATTAGTGAAATTATGTTGAATTAATAATCACTATAAGTTTCAGGTTTTGCGTCACTCCAGAGCTTCGGGATTGGCGGATATCATGTGACTTCAGATATGTGTTTAAGTCTAATCATTAGTGTTTTTCAGCCAGAAGTCTAAATCCTTGATTATTAAGAAATCAGTGTTAACAATGTCTTTATGGCCATTAATAAACGATGTTTCTCTCATCAAAATACTTATAGTCTCTTAAGATCGTTTGAGAGGTTGTCATCTGACTTTTCAAAGAAAATCAAAATTTTTGCTGGATGTCTTTAGATTTGTTACAGGTTTTCAATAGGATTTAAATCTGGACTATTAGAAGACCAATCTATAATTTCAGGAAAATTTCTATTTAAAAATTTTTTAGTAATTTTACTAGTATGCTTGGGATCATTATCCTGTTGAAAGCATCAATTGTTTCCAAGCAATTCTTCAATTTCTTGTTTATATTTTTGCAAAATATTGATATAAAGTTTTGTATCCATAATTTCTTTAAAACAAAAAAGAGAAGTTTTTCCTTTTAAACAAAATCCTCTCTATACAAAAATTTTTGTACGATCTTTAGGTATTCTTCTAATTGGTCTTGCACCTTTGTACCACTGAGTAATTGTGTTTCTGAATAGTTGAAATGCTGTTTCATCAAAAAATAAGATTTTTTCCCAATTGTCCTTAAAATGTTTTTTTGCTCAAGTTATATGAGTCTCTTTATGAGCAGTAGTAAGCATAAGTGTCTTTAAAGGTAATTCATTTTTATAATCTATTTTTGTCAGATGTCTTGAAATAGTTGAATATAATACTTTGATATTAATATTTGATAATTTAATTGCCAAAGTTCTTGTAGAAAATCTTGAATTATGATGTAAATATTGACCAATTGCTTTTGATGCATAAGAAATAATCTTTTTAGGATGATCTCCACCTGATTTTCTTGAATTATCACTTTTAGAGTATAATTTTTTAAGATTGTAATAGATTGTTGACATATTTATGTCAATTTTGAAATATATTTCATTTGTAGAAGTAATTCCATTATTCCATAAATATAATATAGTTTATCATTATATATTTTTTTCTGAAGATGACATTGTAAGAGTTTTTTTATAAAAAAAAAATTAATAAATTGAAGTTTTAAGAGTATATATATATTTGTTAGGATATGTTGTTTACATGTTTAAAATTTCATGTGAATTGCTTTTGTTTTGAAAAAATTATTTATATTTATGTCATGTAAATAAAATTCCAAAAAGTTTTGCAACACACTATATATACTAATGCAGTGTTAATTTGCAGATTAGCTATTAGAGATATAACAAGTATCCATTTATCACTGATTTTTGATTAATTTGTAGAGATACTTGGTATCTGTCTGAATATATAAATGTATTAATAAAGATCCCATGCCTTGTGCATATTTCACTTTAAAAAAAATAATTAATATAACAATATAGTATATATCTTATTAGCCATTTCTATTAAGAAGTTAATTGTCTTCAGCTAATATGAAATTTAAGTGGATGTGTAGACTCTTTGAGTCATAATTTGGAGAATTATCTAATATTTTGCTTTACAATAATAATAACAAGTGTAATCTATTATTAATATTAGAGATTTTTGTATCAAATGAAAATAGTTTAATATATATATTACTTTGCAGATATGGTCTATATATTGTTAATTTGATATATTTCTTTTTGAACTGTTCATAAAAGTTAATAATGTAATACAAGCTCTTGTGTTGTTATATAATCTAAGTGATATACTCTAACTATTTTTGTTGTATAACTTTTACAGTTCTAATCTTTTTTTTAATTTTTCTTGTATACTTAATTTTTTTAATAGCATTAGACATTCATAATTCATATTGATGTAATGTATACATATTATCATAATTATGTTCAAAATTAGATTTTTGCTTAATTTCCATATATTCTTCATAACTTATATCACAAAAGGAATTTCCAGTACAATGAGAAATCCAATGTCTCTTTATTCCTATATGATTATAATTACCTATATTTTTGGTCCGTTTACCTATAAATACTAATTAATTGCAAAAGAAACATATTGTAATATCAATTTCAGATGCATAACTTGTATAAAATTCATTAAGATCATTTCAATATCCTTTTAACTTTCTAGCTTCAAGATATTTTTTGCTATTATAAGGTAAGAGATCATTCTTTTTAAAATATGTAAGACATTTCCAAATCCGTTTCATCCACTTACTGGGAGTTTCATGACTTTTCAAGTCTGGGCTCCACTCATTATTACGAATTTGTGGCATCTTACAATATTCAACCCATTCTTCATCTGAACATTTAGAACCCTGATAAGCTATTAAATAACTAAAATCAACTATTTTATGACTTATTTATTAATTATATGAGATTATGTGATTAAGAAATTATATCGGATTTAAGGATTTGGATCTATTTGATTTAACAACTATATACTCTAGAATAATATGATTCAATTTTAATGTAAATTAGATTCTTGGATTATTTTTTTATACATATATAAAATGTTTAGAATATGAAGATCAGGTGCGATATACTTATCACCTGAAGCAATTAGTGATATTATTACTGCCAAAGATACAGCAAATGCATTACCTATATTAGCTAAAAAATATAATGTATCATATACACGAATTTGTGAAATATGGAAATTTGCTATTGCAATAAATAATTAATAAATTCATTATATGCATTAAAAACACTGGGCTTTAGTCACATTGTCTGGCTAAAAATTTGTATAAATTGGGCATAGACTTTTTTCCATTCTTCCATAAGGTCATCAAGCCATGTAGTACTTAACCCACTTTTTAGTATGCCACGACATAATAACTCTTCACCAACCAACCTCTCCCGACCTGTTAAAAATTCATGATATTTTCTAGGGTCTTCTTTTCTTTCTATTCCACCACGATAGAAATGTATATCTCTTTCCAAATCCCCATGAAAACATCCCATGGCCCACCTATTTTTCTCAGCCTCTGTAATGATTGAAAATTTCTTGGGATCTATTCCAAGTTTGATGGCAAATTGGCGTGAGCCTGCTTCTGGCTGATAAAGGTAGGTTTCGTTTGGTACATCTCCCTGAGCTTTCAGAAAACTTTGTACAGCAATTATAACTTTCTTTTGATCAATGCGAAAAGGACAAGTAAGAAAATAATGATCATTTTTATTTAGACAGCTCCAATCACCCATATACTTAAATGTGTATGAACTTTATTGCATATCGGACATTTGGCTTCTAAATCAGTATATTTAAATACATCCCGATGCCATGCATTCGATTTAGTATATGTCAAGAAAGGAAATCGTTTCTGTACTGCTTCAATAATTACATCTTTTTCTTCTGGAAATTTAGAAATCTTGATTATACAGTCTCGTAAAAGATGGTTATCGATTTGTGAGGATTCAGAAGTTTCAGACTTTATCCAGGGATCAAGCCCAGTTTTATTCTTATATCGATTATAGAACCTAGAACGAGTTTTATCTGACAAAATGCTTGGTAATTCTAATTTAGCTTCCCACTCCAAATATTCGGGAGTTAATGTATTCATATTGCTGTTTTATATGATCTCGCATCTCTTTAAATTCGTAATAACAGATAAAAAAATAATATATACCGAGCTCATATCCAGATTAATATAGTTAGCTTCGAATGATGCAACCACGAGAAGGCGGGTTTATGCTATTATCTCGATTTTAATTCCACGCTGTTCACATTTAATAAAATAGGATCCATTTTTATATCTGCCTTCTATACCTTTATCCTCATAATGTTCTGACTTGCATAGCGGGCATAAAGATTTATCCGTAATCCCATAATAATCATTGTTTCCATCTCTACCTTCCCAATATAAATCAGGATATTGTTCTGCCATTTTATTACGGAAAACATCACGTTTATGTGTAGTATTTACATTAGTTGAATCTTTCGAATTCGTTTCATCATCATCGGAGTCATTATCGTCAGAAAATTCTTCCCCATCACCATCAGAGGATTCCAAGTTAGAATCTGAAAATTTACTATTCTCATTTACTATATCTTCCAAATTAGATATTTGAGATGATGAGATAGGAGTGGTTGTAATACTTACCTCTTGTAAAGTTTTTTCGCATGCACCAGTTTCTGATAAAGTTTGTTCAGTCACGTGCGCGTTACTTTTCGTAACGCCGATCACTTTTTGGTATTCATTCGTATTTGTATGCTTTTTGGGAAAACTATTTATAATATTCTGAATTTGAACATCAGGTTAGACATGAAATAGCATATGTGCTATAGGTAATTCGTTTGATCTTGTCTATCCCTATCCCTGTAAATAACGTGTAATTTTTTTTGGCTCTGAAGATTTTCTGACGTAAATTTGCATCAGTAATATCAGGAAGAAACAATTTAATTTCGTTATACACCAATGTTCTCGCTGATTGATCATCGATATTTTTCATGGCTTTATAGTCTTCAACCTGACCATTATATAGAAACAATAGCAGCATAGATTCTCCTTTTGCCCGACTTTTATTGCTACATTAAATAAATCAGCTATACTTTGTGTCGTAACTTTATTAGATCCCATTAAAATCGTCTCGAGGGAGAATTCGGGAATTTGAATATCAAATGAATTATGTTTTTCGATATCATCATCTTTGGTGAAAACGGATAGCTCATGTCTCAAACCTAGCTCCACTTTCTGATTGTATGGAATTTTTGTTTTTTCATTACTATTATCAGAAACAATGTTCGCTGAGTGGTCTATATTCGTTCCATTATGTTTTTCTTTCTCTATGCTGGGTGAATTGTGAACGTTTGATGCTTCGAACATTGAGCTTTCCTCTTTAGAAATTGCTGGAGACTCTTGAGTTCTAGGTTTCTTTTCTCTATTCCTTTCTCTCATCAAACTACTAAGCATTTTCTTGTTTTTTGACTCCAGGAAAGAATCAATCTCCTTTTCTTCCAATGATTTTGGATATTTTTGACGAGGCTGAGATAAATTGACAGGTAATATCATTGGTATCGGTTCTTCAGGAATAAAATCATCTATTTCCTTGACTAATATCTTTGGTACCCCTTCCATTGACTTGGTGTCGGCATTATTTTGTTGGTTCAAATGCAACAGAATTCTCCCTAAAAAATGCACGATCCAAATTTCCTGAGGACAAAGCTGGTTGGCATACTTTATTACTTGATTGAAATGCTTTATAAGTGTAGGGACAGATCCTGTTGCCACAACTTTAGGATAGGGATTATCTGATTTTTTTATTACGAGATTTCAATAAAGGTGATGGAAACCCCCATCATCGCCTACTTGTTCGAGATGCCACTGGCCAGCTATTTCGAAGCCATGCACCTTTGCGAGCCAATTCACTAAGATCCTACACATCTCAGCATCATAAGTACTTTCCTAGGGAACTTCTACATTCTGTTTTGAATCTACTAACAAGTGATTTTTGAGCTTTTGTAGGAACGGGAAGAACCAAGGGAGATTATTATTCAATCAAATACTCGTACAGCAGAATTTCGCAAGATAATAATACAAGTCCCGATCTAAGTCAAAAAGAATGCTTCGGTATTTCCATAGATTAGATGAAGCTAAGGTGGAGAAAACTCTGAAAGATTGAGAAACTTATGCTTCAGTGGGTAGCCAATAAAACTCCTGCATAACGAATATACGTAAATGGTATTTGGCCGGGGGTGTAATAACTTTTTTATAGTCTACACCAATTTCTGGTAAAATTCTATTTTCCGTGTTTAAGCAATGATTCGTCATAATGTAGAACTGTTGGGTTTTATAACTAACGCACCCCGGGGTTCATATCGATTTACTGTTTATGTAATCCATTTTCATTGTTCTGAAAAATTGACTTTTCCTCTTTTTAACATACGTAGTTACGTAGTGCAGTAAGTAATAAATATAACAGCTTAAAATCTTTATATTGATCAAAAAATAATAATAATTTTAAATATAAAACAAAAGAACATGCCAATAAACTGATATATTGAAAAAAATAACCATCATGGACTTTAACTAACTGAAAATGTTAAAATCCTATTCCCCAAAACCCAACTCCTAATACTATATATATGGGTAATTATTTTTGAAGGCGGACAGGGATTTTTCGGGCACTATAATTGTGATCCTAAAATTTACATTGTATATGTATTGTTTAAAAGTAGGGACCAAAAAAATCATATCTAGCATTTTTGTCGCCTTTAAAAATAATTGCCCATATATACTATTGTTTTCCCGTTAAAATCACATTCCCAAAAGCCCAACTCCTAATCCAAAACCTATTGTTTTCGCTAAATATTCCAGAAGGGTATTAATGGAGTCAAGGATGCTTTCAATTAACCTGCTTAAAATTCTTTCAACGTAATAGCATGTCTTATCCCACATTCTTCTCCAGAACGATTTTTGCTTTTCGTGTTCTTTTTTTATTGAATTTTTTGAAAATATGGTTACAAGAACGTCAAAAAGTTTTAATATTCATTTTTAAATTTTCGAAAACTACGAGTAAGGAAATAAAGATTTTTATTTTAACTCACCTTTGCTCCAATTTTCTAATTCCTTATTACGAAAATAGTCATATTCACTTTTTGTTATATACCCTTTATCATAACATATCTTGAGGACACGGAGCCTTTCTTCAAGACTATCTGACATACTGTATCTCTTATTTTTACGAATAATAATGTCGTAAAATTAATCTTGCTGAACTAATGCGTTTAGAATTATATATACGTGCGAGACCCGGTCCTAATGAGATTGATAAGTAATCATATTTTCCATATACAATGATAAATGGGACGGACAAACAATCATACTTTCCTACACGGAGATAAATGAGATAGATAATCCCGAAATGTGTATTGTTTTTGGAGTTACCGTATCGAATAATGTCCCAAAGCTCTTCCAAAAAACAAAAAGATCGGCGGTATTGTATATATACGTACGTACTAGGAAATGGAGACCATACCATTAGTGTCCGATTACGTATTAGTGGAACACCCATAAATAACGATAAATGAAAACATTTAACTTATTATAACGGGACCGTGTAAACTCAGGGAGACCTTACTTTTTGGACCGAATTTTGGAAATTATATAAAAACGTAAAAAATATTAAACTTAAGTTACTACCGACCAACCGACCGTAAATGGAACTCGCAGTAGAACTTGAAAAGAACAAACGTCAATTCGAGAACGGTGAAATCAATGAGGACAAATTTCATGAACGTCGAAAGTCGATATTAGAGAAATGGTCAAGCGGGTCAGGCCGATCAATGAAATCCAAAGAAGTTGAACTCTCTCATAGTGAGTAGGAAAAAAAAAAGTTGACCATTTTAATACCTCCTCACTTATTTTCAAAATGTGATAGCTGATCGTAAACCAAAGGAAACGGACTTATACGCAATCCTCCAGTTAGAACCAAACGCAACTGAAGCCGAAATTAGATCAAGCTATAGGAAACTTGCCCTAAAGCACCATCCAGATAAGAATAACGGTATTGTAACCAAAGAGGTATTGCACCAGACACTGTTTCATTTAACTTCTTGTATATTTACATATTAACTCGATATTCTTAATGCAGTGGAAAAAGCTTTCAAGAGCATATGAAATCCTCTCGGATGCGAACAACCGCTATTTATACGATAACTACGGGGCGATTAATAATTGTACTCAACATTTAACTCTTACATCTAATTTTTAAATAACAAATTCCACTAACCTAATTTCATTTGATTTTATATTAAAGCTTTATCAAATAAAACGTCACTCAACGTATACGTAGGAGGAGAATTATGGAAACCCTACATCGGTAACCTAGAACTTGGCATTTGGTTATTTTCACTTAAAAACCGTGACTCATCCGAACAAGAAAAGTTAACTTCGGCTGAACAGAAAGAACGCCGCCACACCATTCGCGTATCCAGCATTGTCAGTCACCTACAAAACAAACTATCTCAATTCCCGAAGCAACTAGACAATCCTCCAGAACTTGAATCATTTGTAGAAAGACTCTACCAAGAGGCTCGAAATCTTTCTGAAGAACCTAATGGCAAAGAACTTTTATCCTTAATAGGCGAAATCTATGTTTCTGAGTCACAATTCATTTCAGGCAAGCCTTCCGGCATTTTTCAGAAGGCTAGGTTTGTGATAGACTTGATCTCTGGATATTTAACAATCAAAACTAATGGTAGTAAACCTAGTCTTGAAGAGGTAAAGTAAAACCCATATAAAATTTCTTAAACCAATTTTTCACGACGTAACCTAATTAAATATACTGTACGTTGGAAAATTTCAGGCTAGTAAAATAATTTGGAAACTTTCCCGCTCAGAACTATCTTCCATCGTGCATGAAACCTGTAGCATAGTCCTTACTGAAAAGAGTCGCAATGAAGATGAAAGATGTCATCTCGCCAACTCTCTGCAACTCCTAGGTAAAGTATGGCTGGAAGTAAGCAGGATGTAGTTCTTCCCGTCTCTAATATATCCGCGTCATATTAATCTTTGCCTACTGCACAAATCCAAAAGTTAAAAAACCTAGTGTATAATTTTAAGTTAAATAAAGCACAGTATCTAAACTATTTTTAGCATGATGTAAAATAAGCAGGGATCCTGCTGGAATCCGTAGCATAAAAACTTTCATAACTACAATAAAAGATCAGGGCGTCAAAAAAAAATATATATAACATACACTAGCAAAACCTAAAAAAGTTCATTTCTTTCACCCAAATAATTTCATGCGAAGCTTACCTATAATGTCCATTTGGTGGTTTTCACCTTTGTTTCATTGTGTTATCGTAGTTTAATGATTATGACCTATCATTAGCAAGCAAACGAATAAAGATTTCTGTGCCAAATTTTGGTTGAAGCCTGGTAACTATACTTCAGGAACAAATGGGTGGTTACCCTTCTCTGGTCTCAAAATATTAATTGTCCGAAGCGTAGCGGAGGACCTTCTACTTCTACACTTCTACGCGTTAGCAATTCAATGTCGTTCTGTCCGCCTGATCGACCAATAAGATTTTAAATTAATCTTTGGTTTTTATTGCAATCATTTAATTGTAAAGTAACAATAATTTTGCCTTTAGATTATTAATCTTGTTATGCTTCGTACTTGAACGAATCCTGTTCCCTAGTATAAATCCATTTTTACTCACTAGAACTGCCATTCAAACAAGCACATAATGAAAGTGTTAGAAGAGGTCCATTTGGGACCAGGTCAAGTGATGCGAGTTCATCTTCAGAACTCTCACTCCTGAAGTAACTTCAGAAAAACGATCACCTAGAGATTTATCTAAAACCGTCGAAAATTCTCATGTACCATCAAGACCAGTAACACCATCTTTTGAAATATCTGCACCTACCCTCCCTTCCTTTTCACAAAGTGCTAATGTATCATTAATGTGACTATCAATAATTACGGTGGAGGATCAGATGAGCAAGAGGATTAGGATGTTTTTTTTTTTTCATGAAAGCGCTGTTGCTAATATAGCTATTATTTTTTTATATCTGTAAATGTGCTAAAATATTTTTTCTGAAGAAGTATGTTGGTAGAATGTGAAAGCAGTTGACTTCGTCAACAATACCACTTGTAAAGACTAGAATACATTTTAAAAATCAAAAAAATTCTTTATTATAACTTTGTAAAGTATTACATGAGAAAGGGGTTAGCCGACTAAGAAAAAAAATGAAACTAATAAAAGATATTGGAGTAGATCACGTTTAAAGGGAGGAAAACACGCAGGCCCCTGGACCTCTTGCAAAGCAAGGATGGTGGTTCCTTCTCACTACTCACTATTGCTATCTAAGTTATTTGCTTTACTATCGATCCATAAGCCAATTTGGTCTAATGTACTAATGTAACCATCCTTCTTTTTAATATCTTTTTCATAAAAGCCTTGTACTGTCGTCTTCATTCCCTCCCAGTAATTTAATGTTCACCTGAACCAGAGATGACTCTTCTCCCCAAACCATCTCCTCCAAAGTATAATTATTTTCAGTCTTGATCCGATCAAAAATTTGCTTAAATCGACTCCAGATGGTTAGGCTGATACCCGTGAACGTTAATTGACCAGAGCTTGCAGAGGAGTGATTTGAAGCTTCGCTTTGTTGATCGGATTCATCAGAATTGTTGTTGTGGATTCGAAGGATGCGTTCGATCTTATCAAGTCTGGCATTAAGTCGGGGACAGAGTCGGGGATCAAACATGGTATCACGTGTAGTATCACGGGTGTTAAGCTCGGAATTATGCTTGGTGACGATATCTTGCTTATTGAAACGTGAAAAATAAAACGTGGCGCCGACAAGTAAGTACATAGAGATTTTCTCTACGAACATCAATAGGCCGGCGAAGTCCAAGAATGGAGCGATCCTCGGAACAATAAGCGATGTCATCTATAACCGGAAAAATGTTCGTTAGCATATATACACGAGTGTGGGGTGTATCACAGCATATAAACAAAAAAATGGATGTCGACATACATTAACAGAAATTCCTATTTTTCTGGCTTCGGGAGATGTAATCACGAAAAGGCGGGGATATTGTCTTGAGAGTATGAAATTTATTGTGGATATGATTAATTGTTTTATCCCCTTAGTTCGTAAAGGATAGATCAAAGAATTCCTCGACCTTTTTATAAAAAAAAAATCAGATCAGAATTTATTTATAGACTGGAAGGTAAAGGGCTAGAAACTGCCAGAACTTTTTACACCTTACGTGTTTATAGATCGATAATTGTTTTCTCGTCATACTCTCGTCATCAATCGGACATACCCAGATGTATGGCGAATTCAGAGAACAAAGTGATCTTCTAACCTAATTGATTTCTTTTTATGTGTCAGAGACACTAGCTCCGCTATAATAGCCTTGTCTCCGATCCTCATTCTTAGATTCATGAATTAACCAGTTTGTGACTGTAAATGGAAGTAATATAACACTAAAACCACGTAACTGTTTATTAGATTTAATTACGGGATAAATCTTCTCCACAGTACCTCCACCATAAATATAAAATGGATCGCAAAAATAAGAATATAAGTATATAAATATCTAGAACTGTACTATATGCTCTATTATTGTTGCTATCCAAAAGAAAAAGGTACGTTTATTTGCGAGTCTTGCCGTGAAAACATTAGCTGAAAAGCTGACTCAGCTAATGAGATCTCTATATTTTTATCGTATGTTTCTAATCATTCTTATTCCTTAACTTCTCGCTCGTGGCACAATGGGATTCTAGAACATAGACTGATGCCGATCGTGATAGAAGATGGGTGAACTGTGGAATATAGGAAGGGTATTTATAAAAATTTCCACCAAATTCCGGCATGAATATTCTTCTAAAAAAATAACCATTCTAAGAAATATGGTTCGATATTTTAATCTTCAAGGGTAATAGGCATTACAAATTCTCATCTAGTTGATTAGTAGTGAGTATCGAATATTTTGGTTTATTGCGAAAATCACACCGAGTCTATCCAAAACTTTATTCATTGTACGATTCTCTTTTATTACATCACGGATATCAATTAAACCTTTTCTCTTCGTCTCTCAAAAAAGATATAAATTTCATCATATTGTACGGTACCCCCAAATTACTAATCTGCGAATTAGCAGAGCTAACAACTCAATAGGTATATAATTACACTATATGCTCCATTATTGCTCATATCTAAAAGAAAAAGGTACGTTTATTTGCTTGTCTTGCTGTAAAAAACATTGATGAAATTCTAATTAATGTGACCTATATTTTGATAGAAAATGGATGATCTCGACCTCATATTTCTTATCATTCCCACTGGCGCATTTTTTGGGCATCATAGTATGCCATCTGGGATTTGTATTTCTAAGAATGAATCAGTCAACACGCTATATACTAAAATTCGGAAAAGGTACTCATACGACTATGGAGATGCTTCTTTTAATCTTCGTGTGGTTGATATTGAACGTAGAGAATATGTGTATATGGAACCTGAAAAAAAAATTGGCGATTATTTCAATGAAAGTCTTGTCAAACTTAGAGAAATCGCAATTCATATTCTCGTAGAATCAACATAGTCTCAGCTAATGATAGTTTTTTTTTACATATATAATATTAAGTGATAGTTAGTAAAAAAGATCATGTATGCGTGATCACTTTTGTCAATAAAAAATTTCAGTAAAGAAAATATTTTTTTATTTGATGCAATATAAAATACATATAAAGTGGGATAACTATCTGCCCACTATTTTTTGGTAATTTTTTTGATCCTTGCTCTCTTACTAGCTGGAGAGTTATCCACAC